GATCACTCATATTCCCTTCAAAAATCGATATTTTGGTCGAAACCCTGATAAAACTAAAATCGCTTATAACTTCGTTAAAACACGTTTAAATTGAAAAATAAGCTTATTTTGTGATCACTCATATTTTCCTTCAAAAATCGATATTTTGGTCGAAACCCTGATAAAACTAAAATCGCTTATAACTTCGTTAAAACACGTTTAAATTGAAAAATAAGCTTATTTTGTGATCACTCATATTTCCTTCAAAAATCGATATTTTGGTCGAAAACCCTGATAAACTAAAATCGCTTATAACTTCGTTAAAACACGTTTAAATTGAAAAATAAGCTTATTTTGTGATCACTCATATTTCCTTCAAAAATCGATATTTTGGTCGAAACCCTGATAAAACTAAAATCGCTTATAACTTCGTTTTAAAACACGTTTAAATTGAAAAATAAGCTTATTTTGTGATCACTCATATTTCCCTTGAAAAATCGATTATTTTGACCGAAAACCCTGATAAAAAAACTAAAATCGCTTATAACTTCGTTAAAACACGATTAAATTGAAAAATAAGCTTAATTTGTGATCACTCATATTTTCCTTCAAAATCGATATTTTGGTCGAAAGCCCTGATGAAACTAAAAATCGCTTGTAACTTCGTTAAAACACGTTTAATTGAAAAATAAGCTAATTTTGTGATCACTCATATTTCTCTTCAAAAATCGATATTTTGGTCGAAAACCCTGATAAACTAAAATCGCTTATAACTTCGTTAAAACACGTTTAAATTGAAAAATAAGCTTATTTTGTGATCACTCATATTTCCCTGAAAAATCGATATTTTGACCGAAAACCTCGATAAAACTAAAATCGCTTATAACTTCGTTAAAACACCGTTTAAATTGAAAAATAAGCTTATTTTGTGATCACTTATATTTTTTTTCTACTTATATTTTTTTTTCTCAAAATCGAAATTTTGGTCGAAAACCTTTGAAGAAACTAAAATCGCTTATAACTTCGTTAAAACACGTTTAAATTGAAAAATAAGCTTATTTTGGTGATCACTTATATTTTCCTTCAAAAATCGATATTTTGGTCGAAAGCCCTGATAAAACTAAAATCGCTTATAACTTCGTTAAAACACGTTTAAATTGAAAAATAAGCTTATTTGTGATCACTCATATTTCTCTTCAAAAATCGATATTTTGGTCGAAAACCCTGATAAAACTAAAATCGCGTATAACTTCGTTAAAACACGTTTTATAATTGAAAAATAAGCTTATTTTGTGATCACTCATATTTTCCTTCAAAAATCGATAGTTTGGTCGAAAGCCCCTGATGAAACTAAAATCGCTTGTAACTTCGTTAAAACACGTTTAAATTGAAAATAAGCTTATCTTGTGATCACTTATATTTTCCATCAAAAATCGATATTTTGGTCGAAAACCTTGAAGAAACTAAAATCGCTTATAACTTCGTTTAAAACACGTTTTAAATTCAAAAATAAGCTTATTTTGTGATCACTCATATTTTCCTTGAAAAATCGATATTTTGACCGAAAACCCTGATAAAACTAAAATCGCTTATAACTTCGTTAAAACACGTTTAAATTGAAAAATAAGTTTTTTTTTTTTGTGATCACTCATATTTTCCTTCAAAAATCGATATTTCGGTCGGAAACCCCTGATAAAACTAAAATCGCTTATAACTTCGTTAAACACGTTTAAATTGAAAAATAAGCTTATTTTGTTAAAACACGTTTAAATTGAAAATAAGCTTATTTTGTAATCACTCATATTTTTCCTTCAAAATCGATTATTTTGGTCGAAAGCCCTGATGAAACTAAAATCGCTTGTAACTTCGTTTAAAACACGTTTAAATTGAAAATAAGCTTATTTTGTGATCACTCATATTTCCCTTGAAAATCGATTATTTTGACCCGAAACCCTGATAAAACTAAAATCGCTTATAGCTTCGTTAAAACACGTTTAAATTGAAAAATAAGCTTATTCTGTGATCACTTATGTTTCCCTTTAAAAATCGATATTTTTGGTCGAAAACAGTGATTTAAAACTAAAATCGCTTATAACTTCGTTTAAAACACGTTTAAATTGAAAAATAAGCTTATTTTGTGATCACTCATATTTTGATTTATTTTTCATAATAAAGCATTTATCTTCCTTGTTCCGATACATTTAAGCAATTTATGGATGAAAAACTAATTTTCTGAAAGAGGCTTTATATGGGGGCTAGGGGCAAATATGGACCAAGCCCGATAAAATTTTGTGAATATATTTATATTTACATAATATTTTATTGTGCTGAATTTCATCGCGATATTTGTGTTTATAAGTTAATTTGGGACATTCAAGTAATTTTCTGAAGGGGACTTTGTATGGGAGCTAGGGTCAAATGGGGCCCGATATTTATGAAATTTGGCAGGGTCATCAAGACTTCTATAAAACTTAGTTGTGCCGTATTTTATCGATATATCTGTATATTTTACATAATTATGAGCTCAGAAGCCCTTTTCGGGGGTTCTGTTCTATGGGGGCTAGGTGAAATAATGGACCGATTTTAACCATTTTCAATAGGCTTCGTCCTTGGGTCAAATAAAATGTGTGTGCCAAATTTCATCCAATTATCTTGAAAATTGCGACCTGTACCTTGCGCACAAGTTTTACATGGACAGCCAGCCAGCCAGACGGACGGACGGACGGACATAGCTTAATCGACTCAGAAAACGATTCTAAGCCGATTGGTATACTTTAAGGTGGGTCTAGGACGAATATTTTTGTATGTTACAAACATCAGCACAAATCCAATATACCCTCCCCACTAAAGTGGTGTAGGGTATAATAAGCTTATTTTGTGATCACTTTTATTTTCCTTCAAAAATCGAAATTTTGGTCGAAAGCCCTGATGAAACTAAAATCGCTTATAACTTCGTTAAAACAGAAAATAAGCTTATTTTGTGATCACTCACATTTCCCTTGAAAAATCGATATTTTGGTCGAAGAAACTAAAATCGCTCATAACTTCGTTAAAACACGTTTAAATTGAAAAATAAGCTTATATTGTGATCACTCATATTTCCCTTCAAAAATCGATATTTTGACCGAAAAACCCTGATAAAACTAAAATCGATTGTAACTTCGTTTAAAACACGTTTAAATTGGAAAATAAGCTTATTTTGTGATCACTCATATTTTCCTTCCAAAGTCGATATATCGGTCGGAAACCCTGATGAAACTAAAATCGCTTATAACTTCGTTAAAACACGTTTTAAATTGAAAAATAAGCTTATTTTGTGATCACTCATATTTCCCTTCAAAAATCGATATTTTGGTAGGAAACCCTGATAAAGCTTATTTTGTGATCACTCATATTTCCCTTTAAAAAACTATATTTCGGTCGGAAACCCTGATAAAACTAAAATCGCTTATAACTTCGTTTAAAACACGTTTAAATGGAAAGATAAGCTTATTTTGTGATCACTCATATTTCCCTTTAAAAAACTATATTTCGGTCGGAAACCCTGATAAAACTAAAATCGCTTATAACTTCGTTTAAAACACGTTTAAATTGAAAAATAAGCTTATTTTGTGATCACACATATTTCCCTTCAAAAATCGATATTTTGGTCGAAAGCCCTGATAAAACTAAAATCGCTTATAACTTCGTTTAAAACACGTTTAAATTGAACAAGTGAGAGTTCTATATTCGGCTACGCCAAATCTTATATACCCTTCACCATGATGTGTTAAAAAACAGTTAGTACGAATTTTATTACAAAAATCAAAAAATACCAAAAAATATCCATTTTATACGTTCTAACTTAATCTACATGCTTAATTTTATGTTTCTAGGTTCAATATTATCAAAAAGTACCTTTTAAATAACGACAAAGTACCAAACAGTCCCTTTTATATAAAATTTAAAAAGTACCTTTTGAAAAACGAAAAAGTACCAGAAAAAGTCCCCCTTATATAGGTTCTCACTTAATCATTGCTTTACATGCTTAATTTCATGTTTATAGGTTCAATATTATAGAAAATTCAAAAAGTACCTTTCGAAGAACGAAAACGAAAATTGATTTCCACAAACACACAGACAGACAGATGGACATAGCTTAATCGACTCCGCTATCTATAAGGACTTTATAGGGTTCGAAAAATTATATTATAGAAATTACAAACGAAATGACGAATGTGAAGGGTATAAAAATGAAACAATTAAAGTTGATCTGATTTGGTACATTTATGGACCGAACTATTTAAAATTCTAGCGAATATTTAATTTCTAATAATAAATACTTTTTGTTTAATATCCCTTAACTTCTTAAGTATTTAAGATTTATTAACGATAAAGAGTTTTTCAGTAAAAGGAATTATAGGGCGTAGGATCAGTTATGGACCGATCCTTATGAAATGGTGGAGAGGTTTTGGTTTATAAAAAACGTATATCAAGATTTACACATTTATATATCGTTTATTTTTTACATTCAAACCCAAGTATATATTACTTGATTTAAACTAAAACCTAATTTAGGATTTTTTTTAAGGTCAATGTGATCTTATAATGCCCTTATTTTGAGAATTTTTGGTTTGATTGAAGCACAAATGTATACTTGATTTGATATAAATATAAGATTGATTTATGAAAGAGTGAATTAATCCCAAAATTGACTTGATTTGAGTTCGATTCGAACTTGATTTCATAATTCAGAACATTTTAATTTCAATAAACCCTTCAAAAATTATTGGAGTACATAAGCCTCAACTCAACTGCTCAACCTCAACTGCTTATTGCAAAAATATTCTTAACTAAATGAGAATTACATTTGTTCTATAAACCTCTATGTTTACAAATATGACCCTAAATCTTTATTTCTCTTGTTTTTTTTTTTTTAAGTTTACCCCTCTGTAGTACTAAAGAATCATCTTCAAAGATAAAATTTTCTATAAAAAAGAACAGTTTTTTATTTTAAATAAATATTTATTTATTTTTTTATTTTTTCCGTTAAACAAACATTTCCAATTTTCAATCATTCGTTAAATCCTACTTAAGCTCTTGGGCGTATGATATAAACTTGACCATTTTTATTGCCATTACGTTTAACACCACGTCTAGCAGGACGACGACGGTTAACGCGACGACGATTGGGAACACGACGACGATTTAGAGCACCGTTTTGTTGTACAGCAGCTTGAGCTACAATTTGTGGTAAAAGATCAGCTATAGGGGAAGCTCCATAAATGGCAGAATTCAGAGCGCCATTACCAGCGCCAGCATTACCGCCACCACCACCAGCATTAATAACAATGGGTCTAACACCAGCAATGGTACCAATACCAAGACCTGCACCATTACCGGTACCAGTTCCAGTGCCAGTGCCGGTACCAGTGCCTGTACCAGTACCAGTTCCTGTACCAGTGCCCGTTCCGGTAACTGTGCCAGTGCCTGGTCCTGTAACAGTACCACCATTACCTGTACCCCAATTACCAGTAGGTCTCAAAAGTTCCAAAAAGTCTTGTTTATTGGTAATATATTGATTGATGGATTGTGGATTACCCACACCAGCTCCCAAAAATCTCAATTCACCACTGTTGCCATCTTTTACATAAACAGCTGCTACTCTTTCACCTGATTTCTTGGTAGTGGCTAAAATTTAAAAAAAAAACATATATATTTTTCAATATAGAATTTCTCTAAAATCTTTTCAAATAAGTAATTAACCCACCTGCCTGTGTCTGCGAGGCAATGCAACTGGTCATCACCAACATTAAAGCGATTAATTTAAATGCCATTATTAAGATAACAAGTGTTAAGTTTCAGAAAAGAACTGCTGCCACTTTACTTGAACGATTGTAATTGTGATTTAACTATTTTAACCATTAACCCATTCCCTTTTATATGATTCTTCAAGCATGATTTATTAAACCCAAAACTGTTTTCTATTTGTT